CAGACATGCATGCTCAGACAGTCACACCACCTTGGTCACACCACACATTCCTGACTCCCACTGACCAGCTCAGGGTGGGTGGCTTAAACTCTGTAACTCAGTTTTCGTATCTGACACCCAGGGTAATAATGGCAGTTACCTCAAAGGGTTGTTTGTTCCGAGATGAAAATGAGTTGTGAGATGCTTTGAGAGGCATAGCAAGTGCTCAGTGGCTAGGGGCCATTGCAGGTGTTGCTATAGATTCAAATAGGTGCTGATGGGAGGTGAGACACCCCACAGAACCATAGGCCTATCACTCTCACTTCTTTAAGCTCTGGAAGCAGCTCCCTCCCTGGGAATTCCACCTCAGAATTTTACTTTGGTCCATCTATTCACTAGTTGTGGGACCTTGAGGACTCAGCCTCCCTAGCATGTCCTAGCTTTGAGCATTTTTATATTCTCATTTGTGCTGGGCATATGGAAGGCCCTAATACTTAACTTTAGAGGAAAATGATCATCTAAGCTACTAAAAATTTGATGGGTCGCACAAATTCTCTGGTGTCTTTGTAGGCCAAGAAGTCCACAGTAGAACATGACAGGTATCTTTGTGGCATATTTTAAGAGTAGTGGCTCAAGTTTGATTTTGTTTAGCCATTAGGCAAGTTACTGTAAGAGCTAATTCTTCTCAATTTTGCTTTAAGGAGATGAGGTCATGCAGCTATTATAATCTTACTTTCCTGGGCCATACACATAATATGTAACAATATGAGAAAGTGACTAGAAACAAGGGCCCGTAACATTCTGACTTATCTTCTGTTTGGTAATAAATTCTTCTAAGGACTTGGACTTGCCTCAGGGAAGATGGAGCTTCCAGGAAAAGATCATGAGGTAGAAGTTACCCAAAGAGATTGATACCACCATTTTGCCTTGCTATTTTCCATCTCTCACAGCCCCCTTCTGGTCTTGACCAGTGGGGAATTTTAACAATCAGCCTGTTGCCCATGCTTTTGGAATTCATATTGCTTAGAGAGAGCTTCTTACAACCTTTTAAATCAATCCTTCTGACAGGTAGGAATGAGTCAACGTTTCAGATGCCAACAACAGAAGCCAACTTTGGCTAATTTGGCACAAAGAGAATTCACTAGAGGGGCAAGCTCTGGGCTCCCACACAAAGCAGAAGCTGGTGCTGGTGGTTGGGCAGCTAAGCACCACGGAGTACCCTGAAGCCTTAAGGGTGTTGTCCTCCAGATGTGCCTTCCTTGCCACAATTGTTCCAGATGCAAAGTGCTGGGGGAGAGTGTTGGGTTCATCTCAGGCCTACCCTTAGCTGCACCACAGGCAGGGGGAAGTGTATAAGGCCGAAGGAACAGTGGGAGTGGGAGGCAGGCACTTAAGGGACACTTGTAGGAAAGAAGGGCTGGAGGCAGGCTGGACATCCCTCCCTGGAAATAAGCTAAGATACTACCAGAGGAGGATGCCTGTGAGCAGACCTCCACCTATGCCCTGGCTCCTGATGCAGTGCTCAGGATGAAGTGGAGTTACTCGAGAAAGATCTAGAACCTACTGCTAAGTCAGAACCAACTGGAGTTAGGATATTTGTAGATGAAAAATCACTACACACACACACACACACACACACAATCTGGGAAAATGCAACTATCTTGCTAAGGAGGTAGAATTGGGGGTGGGGTAATTTTAACTTGAAATATGTTAGTTACATTTACAAGGTCATAGTTATATATTGCTCACTTACTTGAAATTAAAAGCGTATAAGGATTCTACTTTAAGACAAAGCTTAATACTTTCCCACTACCTATTTCAGAGTCAAAGAAGCAAATCAAGTACTTATCAGGACTTTACAACTTATATCCCCAAACAGGGCTTCAATTTCTCCCCATCATTCCTAATTCAGTCCATACCCACTGTGGGAGCCAGGCTCTGTGAGCAGCTGTGGTCAGTCCACACTCAGGGTCAGACACTTGGTCCTCCTCCTTCCCCCCACTCTCGAGTAGGAGCTACAGTCCAGCCTTTTCTACTGCAGTCCCATCAGACATACCATCTTGCTTCCTCACACTGAGATGGGGACATAGGCAGGGCACTGCCATGCTCACTGATGACTTCCCTTTTCCCCAGTCCTCCACTCCAGTACGGAGTCACACTTGACTCCATGGGCAGGGCACATTGCCAGCAGCCACTTCAAGACTGTAAAGCGTGGTTTGCTTTAAAGTACACTACACAGACTGTCTTCAAGCAAGAAGTTACCTGATCTACCCATAGCTAATACGTCCTGACAGATGTGAGTGTAGTAGTCATATGCAACTTCAGCTGTTTCTCTCCCGTCTTGTGAAAACAAACCAAACAGCTCACCAAAACTAGTTGAAAGTTTTATTTATATAAAATTCATTAAGAACATAAAAGACTGAGTTTCTTAAAAAAATCTGCAGTTATTTACAGCAGTATTGCACAAGTAAAGTGGCAATTACCCTGTCAAAATTCGTCAGTGCAAAAACACAAGGAAGCCAGGGAAACTGCAATACAAACGCTACATATGCTGGGTCCTGGGAACCGAGTTAGTGATGGGTCAGTATAGACAGATCAGTGCTATTTATAACAGGTACCTGACAGGTTCCGATACAGTAACCAGTGGTCATACAACCTGGATCTAAACCCACATAAGCTCCTGAAGGCCGAAATTCCCAAATAAAAGTAGTCAAGTTACTTAGCTGGGAGCTTGAGGGTGCTTTTTGCACTCAATGTTTGGGGTGGACCCTGCTTAGTGTCATGTGTGGAAACACCCCTGCACATATGCTGAGTGGACACACACAGGCACCAGGCTAACCCAGCAGGGACGACAGAGCCATCCCTCTACATAAACTCACTAGAAGTCCCTAGAGCTTCCACGAGCTTTCAACCTTAACACCCTGCCCAGGGCAGCCTCCAACCTCCCTTAAAGGGAACGGAGAGACTAAAAGACAATTCACCTGAAGAAGTGGGATGACCAAATGCAGTGACCAAAGGCTGGGGGCGGTGTACAACTAATTCCAGAAGATGAACGCCTTAGTTCACACCTCAAGACACAGGGAGCCACAGGGCAGGTAAAGAAAGCTCAATTCCTCACCAGCTGCCAACAAGGGGTCAGTTACCACAGGTCCTGAAGGCACTGGAAGCAGAAGCACCCGTTCCCTTGTCCTGACTGGCCCTTGCTTTGGACAACCACATGATGGCACCTCCAGAGATGGCACATTTTCACTTCTCTCAACACTGAGTTGTCAGGAATAATTTCAATGGAAAAAACTTTCCCATCTGTTGATAATACTTTTTTTTTTTTTGATATAGCCCGGAGTTAGCAAGTTTGCTTCTATGAGAAGCTAGCTGCTTTGGAATAAACAGAAGGTTGCTGGGTATTTTTTAGAGTTAAATCTTACAGCCTGCCAGATTTATAGTTTCTCATTGGTATTAAAACACAAACTTCATCATAAAGACACCAAAACCCAAGAACTCAATACCAGGAACGGAAGCTGGAGGCCACCTGGGCAAGACCAGGATGTCCACAAGAGCTGACCAGTCACCACCTCCCACCTCAGGAGCTGAAGCAGCTCATGGGGTGGCAGGGGTGTGAGGGACAGGATGTCAACACTTTTAAGAACGTAAGACATTAAATAAGCAGAAAATAAATATACAATATTTCTACAAGTTACAGCATTATGAAACAGTAGGACACATTACACAGAAAAAGAATCTACAATATTTACAATCCTTGATTTTGAAAAGTTTAGAGAAACAGTGATTTTTACTCATTTATGCTGTACAAAATTTTACAAGAAAAGTAAAGGAAACACATTGCACACAGACATTTGGCTCAGTTAAGTAAAATATGACCTCCTAACCTAATAAATAGTCAAAATATATACAACATTGAGGGAAAACTGGAGAAAACCATATTCCACTCTTTACTTTTTTAAAAATCAGAATGAATTTTAAACTGTTTTTTTCTACCCCCTTCTTCCCAAAATTCTTCATGAACTCTTTTCTGGAAGGAAATCTACAGTCACTCAGGAAGTCATTTTGTGTGTTTATTGCATTTCGGTGTGAAGTCATAGGACACTTTTTTACAAACCTCACACTGGGGAGAGGTTGTCAAGGCACAAAACCTGCAGTAGGTTTTCAAAAAAAGGGATCTAGATTTTGTCCTACAAAAAAAATTAAAAATAAAAAAGTAAAAAGTACAAGGTACACCTACGGTATGTGGGCATACTTTCTTTCAGGGAGGCGGTATGATAAAACAGATACAGTACAGAGACACCCAGTCATCTCTTAAGTTCTCATGCCAGCATCCTGTTCTTTAATACTTCTGTAATTCATAGAATCTCTTATTTCCCCACAAGCTGCTTCCCAGCCAGAAGGCTGCCAAGCCAGAGGTCAGCAATGTGCGGGTGGCGTGTGCGCCCTTGGGCACCTGGCATGGAGAGCCTCCTGCACCCGTCTAGGCTACACCATGTTCCCAAGGAGGTGAGGGCTGAAGAAACAGTAAAGTGCTCCAGTCAGAGAGACTGGCATGTGAGCACGGAGGTCCTAGGAAGGAGGTGGCCCAGAACCAAATACATCTTTGGTGTGTGTGTGTGTGTGTGTCTAGGAGGGCCATAGCTGCGATCCTAACACCATGGGCTGCATGGGACCCTACAAATGGGCTCCTCAGGAAACAAGCCGAGGAAACACAGCTTTCAAAGTATTCAAAACCCCAAGAAGATTTTGGGGGAAAAGAGAATGTTTAAAAAGGAAGAGTATTTGGAATCAAATGATCTTTACCTAAAGGAAAAAGCATACAGCCACACACAACATACACACACACACACACACACACACACACACACACACACATATACATATATATATATGTGTGTATATATATGTGTGTGTGTATATATATATGTATGTGTATATATATGTACACTCACACAACATATATAAACTTATGAAGATACAAATGAATGGAATTTTCCACTTAATTTAATGATGTGAAAACAATGGTCCTCTATGGGCAAAAGCAAATACAACTGTTGTTGGCACTGCCAAGTTGCTTGAAATCTCATATATTTCTTTTAAAAAGTTGTTTAATGATTGCAGTTTTCAAACATTGCAAATTACATGGTTCACAGACTCCTTTTCTCCCTCTTTTGCTGTCCTCTCACCTGTTTTTCTTGGGTCTTCCCAGTTGTTTGCCTCCTTTTGTGTTGTTTTGATTTTGGTGATGCTGGGGCTCAAACCCAGGGCCTTGCTGGTGCTGGTCAAAAGTGCTCCCCACTAAGCTGCACCTTCAGCCCTGCCTGATTTTGAAATGACTGATGAATGTGTGTGCAGTCCTAAGGGGCAGCAACTGTGAAGAAGCACTCCTGTGGAGGTGGAGGCAGGGTGGCCTGATAAGATCCACTCTCTTAGAAAGATGGGAAAAGCAAAGCAGTCATCTTTCAGAAGGCTTAAGGGACATTTCAGACTCTGTCCAATGGAGTTTTTCGATGGTACTGTTAAAAGTATAGGCCGGCCTCTGTTACAAAGTGGGCTGAGGAGTGGAGATGAAGTGCATGTTATCACAGGCCAGGTGGGCTGAGCTGGACTAAAAACCAGCTGGAAAATGGCCACTGGAAGTTCCCTCTCCCTGCTGAGTTTGGATGCCTGCAGCTGTACCTAGCTGTACAGGGCACACCTGGGACTGATGCAGTGTGTAGCCTGCAGCCTGTGACTACCAGGTAAAAGCCAGCAACCAGAAGAACTGACAGCACAAAGGATCTAATGCTTAGCCTGTCATTATCACCGCTCTCAGAATACTAAACACGTTATCAAAACAAAGTGAAGGCCCGAGTACTTCCTATTAGTCAATCATAGATCAATCGAGCTGTGAATATACAGGCAGGCGTGAATGTGTTCTGACACGAATGCACCTCATCAGGAAAACACCCTGGACAAACCATGTATCAGCATCCAGACAGAGAGTGTGTTATGAAAAGAGATCAGGGAAAACATGAAAATCAGTCTGAAGTTTTGCCACTAATGCAACTGAGTTTAAGGAGGTAAATAAATATCTACAAAATGGGAGTGGCTTACCAATGCAACAACAGACACCTTGCCCCTTAATCTGTTCCATTTCATAAGAACTGTTTTGGTATTAATAATAATTAAGAAAAAAAAAGCTCAAAGAGGCAATGGCAGGGAAGGGAGAGCAATATACCATACCTCTCCCTGTTTAAAAAATCCTGTACAGTAATCTCTAAAAATAAACTAAGGCAGCTTTACAAATTAGCTGGCTCAGTTTCCACTGCAGGGCTTACATAATTCTCTGAGGGTAGGCAATAGGTTCTTAAAATTTTAGTACAAAAATTGTTCACAAAAGTTTCCATTTCCTTTCTGAAACAACAACAAAAAAACCTGTTCTAATTAGAGATGGAAAAGAATAAAACAGCACATGTAAACACCATTCTTGTATACAATCCTGCTCCAAAGAACCATGATTTATACATTAAAAAGAGAAGAATCCTCTCCCTCATTTACATTCACAACAAACTTCCAGGAAATTCTGCCTGTGGTGATGAACAGAAAGGTCAAGTTCACATCCAATGGTGCAGTGTCTTCTGAGCAAACTGCCTGCCCAGCACACGCCTCTCTGGGGAAGAACCACTGGCTGCATAGTAATGGCACCAAGCAATTACGGTGCTGGGGTTTGTAGGTTTGAACAAGCGAAATGTCTGCATTTATCTTGACTCCACAGAGACCTGGTCAATGCATTCTCCACACCAGACGGATGATGTAACGTAACAGTCGTAAGATAACCATTTGGGGGTGGTCTTCCACTCCTTGGTAATTATTCAAAAATACCTGCAATGATAAAAGCAAAACTTTTTAGTTTCTCCCTAATTTTTTTGGGGGGACATAGTTAAGTAAACAACCAATCTCATTTTAATTGCAATGGAAGGCACCCCTTAAAAAGCACAGTTTAAGCTGGGTGCTGGTGGCTCATGCCTGTTACCCTAGCTACTCAGGAGGCAGAGATCAGAAGGATCCTGGTTAGAAGCCAGCCCAGGCAAACAGTTTACAAGACCCTATCTTGAAAAAAACCCATCACAAAAAAGGGATGGTGGAGTGGCTCAAGGTGTAGGCCCTGAGTTCTAGCCCCAGCACCACACATACACACAAAAACCAGTGTCATTTAAGCACCAAGAGGAACTCATTTCCCCTGCAAAAGGAGGAGGGTGTAACTACATACAGGGACATGTAACAAATGAGTCTCCTTCAAATAGGAAAATAAAGTGACTAAAAGAACATTTGAAAAACTCAAAAGAATTCCTGAACTTCAGTATTCCAGATGGCAAATCTTCATGCAAGTGCTGAACAAAAGCCATCCTTGGTCACTGGAGATGGCACACCATGGAAAGAGGCAAAGGTAGGGATGGGCGCAGAGGAAAGGAAAGGAACAGTCTTACTACCCATGGTCAAGTGTGTTTCAGACTCCCTCAAGGGTGAACTTCTGATTGCTGTAATATATTTGAGAAACCAGTGATTTGGAGTAATTTGCCCTAAAAAGCTAAATAAAGTGCTGCAATGATATGCCACTGTGCCTCTGGATGCTCAGGGCACTGGGCTGGATAAATATTGTGACCCAGCAGGGTGTCCTAGTCACAGACAAGGCTGAGTCAATTTGCGCCCCCCACCCCCAATACCAGGCCTGGGGAAGAAAGAGCAATTAGAAACAAAAAAGCCTCTTTGCTGGTGACCACCTGTTTCTCACAAACCAAGAGAAACCGTTCAAAAGGAAATCCCATGGTGATTCCAAGGTTTCAGAGCCCTTGGGTCTTCCAGATTGCCCACCTCCAGGTTCTAATTCATTTTGTAGGAACCAAAGAAGGCAACAGGACACAAATGCCTTAATGCCATGAGCTCCATTCCCGTTCAAGTCAAGTCAACCCTGGTCATTTCCTTAATGTCCAGCCACATGAGAGCCTCCACAAGCCACCTTTGCTCCAGTAGGAAACACTCCCAAGGCACTGGGCTAGGGAACCACAGGCCTTCAATCAGGCTGGGATGTCTGTCTTCTCTCAGACCCCAAATGTCCTTGCAGACACCAGCTGCAGGGGCGCTCCTTCCTTGCCACTGTTTACACAGCTCTCAAGCACTAGTTGGACACAAGCGGCCTGTGATAAGGCCAGGGCATTTCCCCTTTCCTTCCATAACAAGATGGGAGGAAATCGGCTTTATGTCAGCAATTCCTGTAGAGGCGCTTGCTCAGTAACCACAGGCTGCGATTTTTATCGGCTTTACACACAAGATTGCTTTGTTTTGATTTAACTTTCAAAATTACTTTGCTCCTTCTATGTGAGAATAATTTAGGTGAAGGTTAATTTTGGTGTAGACTAATATTAGTGAGTTGAAAGAAGCTTATTCAAAAGAATCCCACAACTTACTAAAATGAAGAAAGTGTATACTGTGATAGGCTGTCATCAATCCATGGTGGGAAGTCTCATGCCAACCTGGTGTCATTGCTGTTCTCAGCATAACCAAAGAATGGGGCTGACTGGGTGTACACAGTCAAAATGACACTAACAAGAGAACTGGGTCACCTGAGGGACAGACTCCACCTGATTACACTTGGTAAGCTCCAAATTCCAATATTAGCAATATCTGAGGGTCAGCAGATGGACAGCGGTGGCTGTGACCAAGGGTTAATGAAAAGTCACATCACAAAAGGTATTCAAAAAACATGCCAGGAAAGAAGAGGGAGGGGACACAACAGCATCTCGCCCTATGAGGCTGCAGGCATGACAGCACGGCACGTGCTCCCACCAAGTGAACAATTGCTTTTGGATAACATTCAATGGAGGAAGCCATTAGCGCTGATTTAAAGAGCAATGCCAGCCCTGAAAGCTCTTGACAGCTGGCACAGTTGTTGAAGCTGCTGCTGGCCCAGGGCACACAGCCCACATTGCAGAAAACAGCTGGAGGACGGCCGCTCCTACTTCTGCAGACTCCCTTCCCTCTGATGCCTGCGCTCTACAATCAGTGCGGCCTGTGGGGAGGCACAGTCTGAGCCTGATTGTGCTAACGGAGGACAGGTGGCCAGAGATCTGTAGCCCAGTGAAGACAAGGAGCCAGAACCAAAAGCTTGGGACCCTGCAGATGGTCAACAGTGGTGGCTGGCGCAAGTGTTCAATCCAGAAGAGAGCTTCCTGTGACACCCTGGTGAGGATCTGCAGCTACAACTAAGTCTGTGGCTTAGAGCTTATACAAAACCCCCAAGACAAGAGTACATTAGTAAGAACTCAACATGAGTACATACCCTGGAGGTTCTGGCTATAGAAACACTTCCAGAACAGAATATGCAATCCAAGTATGAAAATGACAATTACTGTGGGGTGGGGAGTCGTTAAATGTCAGGGTTACAGTAAGACTGACCAGGCACTATGGTTTGCTGTGTGAGTGGTTGGCACCTCATGGAGAATTAGGACGACAACAGAAGCACACTGAGGAACAAAGGTGTCGGAACCTTCTTCTTGGGTCTTGGGCTCTTGGCTCTTGGCTCTTAGCAGAGCCGCTTTCCTACCTGTCCAGAGGATCTGTGTCTGCCCAGTGGCTCTCACTCAGATACTCCAAGAGGCATTTCAGCTCCTCCATTGCTTAGTGAGAGGCATTGTCTTTCCTGGGTAAAAGTATTTAAAGCAGAAACTCAAACAAGTAACCAGTCCCCTCTCCTTCCTGACACTTCTGGATGTCTCCTTGTATAGGCTAAGTTATGTTCCCCCAATCTGTATGTTGCAGTGACTGTAAGTGAATGTCATTGTATGTGGAGATGGGGTCACCAGTAAGGTGACTGAGATGAGCCCTAACCCAAGGTGTGCTAAGAGATTAGGACACACCAGAGGGACAACCATGGGAGGACACAAGGTCAAGGAAAGAGGCCTCAGGAGAAACGAATGCTGTTCACAGTGCATCTCAGTCTTGTGGCCTCTAGAAATGATACAGAAAACATTTCTGCTGTCTAAAACACCCCGCTGATGGCTGTTACATTAGCCCAGAGCAAACACTTCATTCCCATTTATCACTCTCAATCTGTTGCCCTTTAAGTGAAAAAAGTTCTTAGATGAGAGTTGAGTAACTGTTTCAGTCTAATTGCAAAAATACTTAGGAGATGTACTACAATGACACATTTGGGTGAAGGGGGTTATTTAAAGAACCAAACCTGCCACCACTAAGTACAATTTATGGGACCTCCTATTGCTGCACACACACACGCACCCCCCCCCCCCCGGAAAAAGACGATTAGGCCGCTCTGTCAGGCATTTTAATCTCCATGGTCTAAATCAGGAGCTTATAAGAACAGGGTAGCCATCCCATGTGTTCACAGATGAGCCCCCTTCAATGTTCACAGCTGTGTATCTCCCTGTAGAAGCCAGTTCCTGACAGTCCAGGCCCCTCTCTGAGCAAAACCCTTGGATGTGTGCTTGCATCACAGTAGAGCTCCATTTCACAGCATGTATCTGTGCTCCACCAGGCTTATCTGATGATCCCCAAGCCACTCGCACAAGATAATACACCAGATAGTATGTCAGGACAAAACACAAGTAAGTAAGATGACAGAAATATCTTTGCCAGGTGGGGCAGAAATGCACCAGAGCTGATCCCTAGGCTGAGCCCAAATGATCGAGTGCATACAGGAGGAGGCAGGAAGGTTCTATGGGGACCAAGCCTGAGCAGGGTAAACAGCAGAAAAGGCAATGCCAACATGGTGAATGAGCATGTACTTTGCCGTAACAAACCAGGGTGGAAAACTATGGTGAGCTGCAGGATTAGAACCCTAAAAGTAGAAAGCTGTGGGACTCAGTCTCCACATTTCCCTGGGGTAGCCCCAGATAGCCACCCTTCTTTGAAGACACAAAATGACCTTTGTGGCCATGTTAGATCATCTGCGCAGGGACTCAACAGCTTCTCCACAGGGCACCAGGGGATTGAGCTTACTGGGTGGTGGTGGGGAAAGGCTGGGCCAAGGGACTGTCCTAGTATGGGGTTTATGTTGACTTACCAGGGTTGGAGGAGCCAGCACAGTGTGGATCATTGAAGGCATGACTAGAGCCAGGATGCTCCAGGCTGCTACCAGTGTGGCCTTAACACACTTCATGTGGGGATTGGGGGGTGACAGCCACAAGCAACACTGCAGGTGGAACAGTAGGATCACTTTCAAATTACATGTGGGACAACCCACACGTATCAGGGAATTTAATTACATTTTAATGCCAAAATATTCACAGCAAAACAACGCTCTTTTGCTTGTTCCAGAGAGGCAGGTGTTCAGTCAGGAAACAAAAAGGAACTTGACCCTAGGATTCCCCAGGGACCTGGTCAGGTGAACCACGAGACACTTGGAGAATGCAGCTCTGGACTTGCCTTTGCTATCCTGCAGAGACGAGGGCCTGTGAAAAGCTGCCCAAGACACACTAGTCCTACAGGCTGTGTGTCTAAGCTTGAAGACAGAATCACCCATTGCCAAAGCTAAATGAAATGACTTAACACATGTTTTTTGAGTCTTTAAACTACCCCCATGAGCCAGCACAGCTCTCTCCATACTGGCTGGAGGTGGCAGAGCAAGATGATGGCAGGGCCAGGACAGGTACCCTGGAGCCCATACTCCCCACCAAGAAGGCACACAACACCTAGGACAACATACAAGCTCCCAGAATGGGTAAGACAACATGGACGTTGACATGCTGAAGATGAAACAGAAGTTGAGAAGTGACTCTAGGGCCAACACGGCCCTTCTTCTACATCATGTGCAGGCCCACCCCTTCTCAAGGCTTAAGGAAACCTTGTTTTTGGCTGAAATGAGGTCT